TATATCTTAAATTTACCCATTTCTATTGAAAGACCCTCAGAGTGGTCCTTCCCTCAGGAGGAGACCCCTAACCCAGGGAACAGTCGAGACCACTGGCTGTAATTAGCAAGAGGTTTGTTGGGTGGGCACAGGTACCTGTGGGTGGCAAAGTCCTTTTGGAGGACTTGCGCGCCTGCAGGCTGGGAGAAGGTCTTTTTATAGGAAAAGGGTAGCAAAAGCAGGCATACAGAAGCAATGCATGGTTACAGGGATCTCATTGATCAGTTCAAATGAGGCGATGGGTTCATTTAGGGGACAAGTTCCCCAGAGACATGAAGGTCTGATAATAATAACAGACTTGGCCCTATCTAGGGTACATGTAGTTTTTCCCAGAACTGCTCGTTCCCCTCCTAGGCCTGGTATCTGACCACAGATATCCTGTTTGACCATCTAGGAGTACTGACTTTACCTTGAACTTACATTTATTTGTGTGAAGGCTTTGCAAAATGGCATTACAGCAGCTAAGCTGGGGTCTTTCACTATTAGCCTGTGTATTGCCATGTGGCTGTGGCTTACCGGGTAAAGTTCTGTCCAGCATCTGTCTCTGGCAGGGTTACATGGCTTCTTCCTGACTCTGCCTACTCTCTATATATAGTTCTTCCAGCCTAGCTATATTTTGTTAAGCCATTGGTTGAAAGCAGTTTTATTTATTAACCAATAAAAGCAATACATATACACAAGGACTTCCCATACCTGAGGTGGGTCACTGAGGTGGGAAACAGCCTTTTGGGATCATATTGTTACTGGTTAGTTCTTTTCACACTTTACTTCCTGGTCATTCATAATGTGAATTCCTGGGCCATGGTGTCAACACCATGATGGACTGAACATTTTGGAACCTTGAGCCAAAAACTAATGCTCACCCCACAACTTGTTTTATTCCGACATTCTGAGCGCAGCAGTGCAGACGTAACTAAAGGAGAGAGAAACGAAAGTCCAGACAAAAACCCAGCTCAACCAAGAACAGACGGAAGCACAGCATCCAACACCGTTCCTTCTTCTCACGCTATCTTTTCAGCTGTCCAAGTGAGTCCAAATTCCCAGAAACATCTTAAATCCAACACCGTTCCTCCTTCTCACGCTATCTTTTCAGCTGTCCAAGTGAGTCCAAATTCCCAGAAACATCTTAACCGGAAAGGTTGGCTCAAGTTGGTTGTAAACAATAAACAATTAAGAGTGGTTTTGGTGCTAGGTGTGGTGACACTTTGAAGGTTGAAACAGGGTGGTCATGAGTTCAAGGTCAGTCTGAACTACAGAGCAAGTTCCAGGATAGTCTGAGCTATGTGGTGAGATCTCATCTCAGAGAACCCAGGCTTGGGGCATAGCTCAGTGGTCTGAGCTCTTAGTTAGCACGTGTGTGTGTTTGTAACGTTCAGTTTCCAGCACTGGGAGAGAGAGGCTTTGGAAAGAAAACAAAGGACTTCAAATGCAGGAAAATATTCTTTTAGCTCTGAAGAGGGCAGTATGCAGCCAAGGCCAAACAGGTACTAGTGGTTTCCTTCAGGATCTGAAGGTAGGCCAGCCCTCAGGAGCCCAGGTGGCTTGGGTTTCCAAGAGCTTATTTCTTGAAAGACAAACACATCTTCACACACGAAACAGGATTCTTGAGGTCTGAGCACAGCTACACACTGCCTCTCGGAGGGACACAGTGCAAACTGATACGAAGGTGATTATGCAAGATGGATGGGAGAGTCCCCGTTTTCCTTTCCTGTGCTTGTGTCTGCTCACTCAGATCAACCTTTATGAAGTTAAACAATAGCACAGCCTCCCATATGGCATCCCATGTTTGCAGAAGAAAGTGTTTCCTTTTCTTTTAAGACTGAGAACCGAGGCTTCTGCTGCCTAAAGCAAAACTATTCTTGAAAATATTCTTTGCACAGAAGGGAAATATTGGGAATGGGGATTTTAGCTCCTGGGATGCTTTTATCAAACCAATAACAGTAATTATAATTAGAACACACACGAACTGAAGGCTAAGCATGAAATAATTTTTCAGAAAGCCTGAACTGTATGCAATTAAGCCCCATGTGGTGGCATTTCCAGGTATGCCATTAATACATGGGGGAGGGCTTGGAGCAGATCCTTTCCTTAAATATCTCAGTGTGGTGGCAGTAAAGACGCAACTAGAGTTGAAGAGGGGAAATAAGGATGCGTAGCTTGAGCTGCTACACATAGAGCTGTAAGACACATGTCAAAGGGTCACCCAGATGGCTACTGAAGCTGCCATTCTATGACACCCTGTGAAATATGTTCACTGAGCGCCAGTTCAACCCAGGTCTGCATTAAAAGGAGGGGAGAACTCTTTGCCTCCATTTCGGGAATGCATTAAACTCAGTGTTAGAAATCTCCCATGGCTTCCCAATACTCAGAGAACAAAGAGTATTCTTCTAAAACATTTACTATATTTATTTGCTTATTTAGTCACTTATTTATTATGTGCCGCAGGGTTGCCACACATGCCACAGGAAAGGACACCTTGCAGAAGCCGCTTGTACCCTTCCACCATGTGACTACTCACTGAGCCGTCTTGGCAGCACAGAAAGTCCATCCTCGCTTGTTGCGTCCTCTCACTGTGGGCCGCCTTCACACAGCGAGGTTCGTCTTTCCCTTTACCTGGACTCACATCATCTCTCCTTTGCTAGGTCAGAGATTTCATCCCTTTATCCTGGCTCTCCAGCATCTGGCATATGACCCAGCAGCAGAACAGGTGCTGGGAAAATGTTAAATGAAGAGTGGCCAGTACAATAGGTAAGTAGAGAAAACAGCGAACAAGCCCCTTCAGATAACCCTTCTCTGTTTCTCCTTCTCCCGTGTCAGAGTCAGCCATTTCATTCCCGTGACGGCAATCCAGGACTGACTTGGGGAAAAGGCAGCTTTTCACAGACCAGCTTAGGAGGGCAGTTCAGGTGGGAAGAGATGCACATGACATGTGGTAGTGAGCGCAGAGCGCTATAGCGCTCCGAAGAGTAGAAGCCCTGAGTTTTTCTTGTGATCCAGACTTCAGGCACGTCTTCTGGCATCTTGTTATATGAAAAGTATAAAAAGACTGTATATAGAGTCGCCATATTCCCGCAGTGTGGCAAACATCAGGACACTGGCGTTGATACAATTCACCTAGCTACTTCAAACTTCGTTTTAAATGCACCTGAGTGTGCTTGCAAACTTTACATTTCTGACAACAATCCGTTCCTTTCCTGCATCCCGGAGACCACCAGAACAGGGGCCCAGGCTGGTCTATCCCAGCCCAGGACTTGGCTCCTGCTGGCACCTGTGCTGCTTATATTCTTCTCTTGATTAGTGCAGGGGACTGACAATCGTCCACATACACACTTAAACTTGTCAGCTCGTGTGCAAGCGGTAGGAACATTTTAAGGCAGAAAAACGAAGCATGAAGCATCTAATATTTTAGAGGGTAAAAGTTGGCCATTTTTCCCAATTGAGAATTGGCAAACCGGCTAACTGCTCCAGAGCGACCCTAGAGTTCAGGTGTGAACTCCGGAAAGCAGTTTTTTGGACCCCATCCTTTCACTCCCGGGCTGGAGAAGTGGGAAGTCTTCGCAGGGCCCCCAGGGCTCCTCCTGCTGCTACCCCCACTTCACCCCCTTTCTTCCCTGGGGCCGGACTGTTTCACCCCGTCTCCAGGCAACAGTCAGGCGCGCCAGGCGGAACGTCATTTCCTGAAGAGCCCGCGGGGGGAACAGGGCGGGGAGGGGGAGGGGCGAGGGGGCGGGGCCAAGACCGGGCTGGCAGAGACGGCGTCGGAACTAGCTGGAAGACTCGACCCAGAGCTGCTCAACAGTTCTCAAAGTCCGGGCTCTCGGCGCGTGGCTCCGTGTGCGCCCAGGCGGCGCTGGGGCGCGGGGACCCCGGGCTGCTGCATGGTGGGCGGCCCGGGACATGCCCCGCACCCCACGCCGGACGCCCCCGTGGCTCCTCTGGCTGCGACTCCTTCGGACTCTGGGACTAGATCGACCGACGCCCTAACTTCTGACTTTGGGGTCCCCCAGCCCTAGAGGAATGGGCAGCTCGGCTGGGGGAGCCCCGGGCATGGTGTGACGGGGCGGGCGGCGTGGCTGCGTCCCCCACTGCGGCCACGCGTGGTCTCCGCGTCTTCCGTCATGTAGCTACTGTCCCCGCTCCTCTCGGCCTCCAACCGCAGTCTCCGAGACCTCCGGCCTCCAGCCACCAACTCTTTGTCCCCCCAGGATCCCGCCTCGGTCTTCGCGTCCTCAGGATTGCAACAGCCGTCTCTTCGTCCTCCGGATTCCAGTTTCGCTACCCCCCACCCCGCCCGCTGCCTTCGTGCCCCTGGGACACCAGCCGCGGTCCCTGCTATCTCCCCAGGATCCAGCCACTGCTCCTGAGCACCCCCTGCAACCCACCCTGCAGCCGTCGTCCCTGCTCTCCGGCCGGTCTAGACTGCGGTCACGGTCTCCGCGTTTCCCCCAAGCCGTGACCTCGGCGCCCCCGGGAATCCAGCTGTCGCGCCGCTGGCCGCAGGTGCAGCAGCCGCCTCGCGCCGCGCGCCCCGAGCGCGGCCGCGCCTCGGCGGGGAGATGAACGGGCAGCTGGACGGTCTGTCGGTGAGCTCGTCCTCCACCGGCTCGCTGGGTTCGGCGGCCGCGGCGGGAGGCGGCGGGGGCGCGGGGCTGCGGCTGCTGTCTGCCAACGTGCGCCAGTTGCACCAGGCGCTCACGGCGCTGTTGAGCGAGCCGGAGCGGGAGCAGTTCACCCATTGCCTCAACGCGTACCACGCGCGCCGCAACGTCTTCGACCTGGTGCGCACCCTGCGCGTCCTGCTGGACAGCCCGGTCAAGCGGCGTCTGCTGCCCATGCTGCGACTGGTCATCCCGCGCTCCGACCAGCTGCTCTTCGACCAGTATACGGCCGAGGGTCTCTACCTGCCAGCCACCACCCCCTATAGGCAGCCCGCCTGGGCCGCTCCCGACGGCGCAGGGCCCGGGGAGGTGCGGCTCGTGAGCCTGCGGCGCGCCAAGGCCCACGAGGGCTTGGGCTTCAGCATACGTGGGGGCTCGGAACACGGTGTGGGCATCTACGTGTCACTAGTGGAGCCGGGCTCTCTGGCTGAGAAGGAAGGGTTGCGGGTCGGGGACCAGATTCTGCGCGTCAACGATAAATCTCTAGCCCGGGTGACCCACGCGGAGGCTGTCAAGGTAGGGCTCTGGTTTGTGTGAGTGGTAAGAGGACGGTACCGCCAGTATAGTGCTGCCTTTTCGGTTGCCCTGTGCAGTTGTCTCTTATACCAAATCGCTTGAGCCTTCTGGTCTCCTGTTGTGTTTTTGTTTTGTCCTCCGACTTTAAAAGAGGAGTATCTAATTTGTGGCACAGATAAATAGGTGTTCCAAGCAGAGAGGAAATGGTGCTTTTTGCCTTGGGTGCCCTGAAGGCTAAGGCACAAACACAGTATCACATAAGCAAATGTCTGGTCACAAAGTGTGAAAAGGGCTGTAGAGTCTTAGGAGGTTCCAAGCGAGCTTGGCATTGCTTAACTGATGGTCCCCCTGCTGCTGCTGCTACCTTGTTCTTGGGATCCATAGGGTTTTGCCTCTGAAAGAAAGTTCTGCTCCATTGCTAGTGACCCAGGAGGAGGCTGGGTGACCACAGAGCTGGGGCTAACCCTACTGTTTGTAGGCTAGCCAGTATCTCCTGGAACAAGCCAGACCAGAGAACTGGCTCCTGACGTTGTTGCAAACTAGGCTGCTTGTTTGTACATCCGAAATGAACCCCACAGTCCCGTGAAAGTATGCACTTTGCATGTGATTGTATCTGTTAATTGAGAAAAATAACCTCACCACAACCAGCTAGTAGGAATCTAACCCTGCTGTGTGGAGGAGTATTCGTGTTTGCTAATCTTACCACCCAAGGCGAGTGAACAGCAGCCAGTTGAAGATACAGAGTTGGGTCCCTTGGTGGACACAAGGGTTTTTCTCTCATAAGCATTTAGCACCAGGCCTACTGCTTCCTAAACACCAAGTGAGGAGTTGGAAGGAAAGTAATGACAGTTCACTATCTGCTCTCTTCAGAGAACTGCTTCCCCCTGGTTAGGGCTAGCCTGTGGGGCTCTCCCACCCCACTCTCTGGCCCAACTCACACAGTTGCACCAAATCAGACACACTGGCTGCTGGACACTTCTAGGTATCAACAGTCCAGGGCTGCTTCCTGTGCAGCGTGCAGTGGCTTTCGGTCAGCTGAGTCAAGCAGACTCAGTGTGAGTGCCTGGGACACCATCATCTGTCTCTGATCATTTGCTTTTCTACTCAAGGACCCACTTTCAGGAGGCCCCTGAGGTTTCTGAAGTGTTCTTTCCAGTTTCTGGGGAAAGCTTGATGGCTTTTTATTATTATGGGGGTAGCAAAGCTCTGCCTGGTTTCTTATTCTCTCAGGCTCCTTCCCTAACTTGGTTCTCTCCTCTTTATCTTGCATCCCGTATATCTATAAAGAAATGGTCCATTAGTATTGTCCTTAGAGGTCCAAAGTTCCCAAATGATCAATTGATGCTCTAGGGAGACTTGATCCCAATGCTGCTTATAACCACGGGTTTAATTTTCCTGGCGGTTAACAGAAGCTGAAGTCGCTTCATCTTCACTAGATGAGAGACTGCAAAGGCTCCTGACCATGAGCAATGCAGGCTCTTCCTCCAGTTCGTACCTCACATCTGCCATCGAAAACGCTGCGCTCAGAACTGTGTGTCTCAGCCTCTCTGAGTTGCTCCTGGGTGGCGCTGAGCTGTGGCTCGGGGCAGTACCTTGCATCAGTACCGACATCAGCAGCTGCTTGCTGCTTGCAGAGGGACACTTACCCCAGGGTTGAGCGGAATAGAACAGGAACATCCTTGAAGTGTGACATCTGCAACACAGGGACCCGTGTGACCTGACTAGACTTGGGCATCTGCCTTCCTCCTGGTGATTATACTTGTGCAATGTGCTTCTGGCCTAAGAGAGCCTCTTGTAGCCAGTGCCAGACACGTGATCTCCGGACCCTTCGGAAGCACGGGGAAAGGGAATGTTGTGCCATCCTAATTTCAGGGATGAAGGGGACAGAATCTGCAGTGGTTCTATAGAAGCGGACGCCGCTGCAGGGTTGCAGCATGCACAGGTGGACAGCTGGAACAACTGGAGAATAAACTGCAGAGACCCAGAAGGGGCCCCTGTTCCTCCGGGAGACACAAGTTGTCATCACCTGGAAATTCTGTATGTGGGGCGTCTTGGTCAGCCATGAGCTAGAGGACCCAGAGGGTTCCTTGGTTAGTGTGCAGATGCTAGCTGGACTCCAGGCTTCATTCAGTGTCCCCGAGTTGTCTGCTTGTGTCTTCTTTCTGCCCAAGGATCCTCCATCCCATTTAGTAGAAGATATCTTTTTAATTAAAAAAAAATCTGTATTTTTCTTTTATGATGACAAAAGGAAGTGAACCTCAGAAGTTTCCCAGAGGAGAGATTAATTGTTTGTATGCACATACAACATAAAGAAAATCCAATTAAAACAAGCTCTAAGAATCAGTGTCAGAGCGCCTGTGCATCAAAGAGGAACACAGCTTTTAAAAGAAGGATCAAGTAAACAGAGTTGACTCCTCTTCTTGATTGATCTTACATTCATTGATACCCAGAGCAATTTGCTGGGAATTTTATCCTGTGCCTAGCAGGATTCCCATCCCTTTCTTAAGTCCAGTTATCCAGTTCAGATTAGGCAAACCACTCACTATGTAGAATTGTGTTGAAATGTAGATTAGGCAAACCACTCACTATGTAGAATTGTGTTGAAATGTAGATTAGGCAAACCACTCACTATGTAGAATTGTGTTGAAATGCTTGATTTTCAAGAGGAAAAAAGAATGAACCAGAGTCAAACTAGTAAATTTTTTTAAAGTGCTCGTTCAAAGGTCTCCAGCCCGGACATGCTAGATCAGGCAGCCAAGGAGTCAGGCCATAGACTTCTTGCTACTCTAAGTTCTGCTGCATACTTGCCGTGTGTGACCTTGGACAAGACTCAGATATTATCTGCTCCAGGCTAGATGAGTTTGGGGGTGTCCAAGGTCCTTCACAGCAGTGGGAGTCTGATTTGCTTGGAATGTGCTGCCCCGCCGGCATGTAGACCATCTGATAATCTGTGCTCTTCTTCTTTTGGAATTGCCTTCAATTAAGGCAAAAAGAATTGGCACGGACTGGGAGAAGGGAAGCTTGGCACTCCTGGTAACTTTGTGCTAAATCAGGAAATCCATGGGTTACACACTGTGTCGATGGGAGCCCGGCTGCCGTCTCTCACCCTCATCTCTCAACCCGAGAACAGCAGCCCTGGTGTGAGTCCAGATGGAGTGGGAATTGCCGGTAGGACTGGGGCACAAACAGCACCATCTTGGGAGATCTGGAGCAAATCCACTCACCCACTAGCTTTTCTAGTCCCTTGTTGGTATAGGTAGCAGCATTAGGATGCCCAGGTACTGTTTGGTGTGTGTGTGCTTTACTGTTTGGGGTGTGTGTGTGCGTGCTTTACTGTTTGGTGTGTGTATGTGTGTGTGTGTATGTGTGTGCTTTATTCTTTGGTTTGTGTGTGTGTGTGTGTGTGCGTGCTTTACTGTTTGGGGTATGTGTGTATATGTGTGTATATGTCTGTGTGTGTGTGTGTGTGTGTGTGTGTGTGTGCTTAATAAAAACTGAAGAGCTTCTTTGCAGTCCCAGCTTTCCCACAGGTAAATCTGAGCAGCAAATTAAGATCTGAAATATTTCAGACATTAAGAAGTGTTCGTGGGCCCTTTCAGTTAATTAGACTATCACTTCTCCCATTCCTTTGCATAATAACCCAGGAGGAATCTGTCAACATTAATACAAGTCATTATATTTGTTCAGGAGGTTCAGAATGACACATTTGTCATCTCATTGCCGTGGTTGTTGAGGACACTATATATTCTTACCGCTTCCAGATTCGTATCTGAAACCTAGTCTCTTGCACCTGGTCTTTTTCTGGGCTCCAGTTGGAAACTGTGGGTACATACTGGCTCCTCTCTTGCCCAGTAACAATTCCTGGTTCTCATGAATCCAGTCAGCAGTGAGATGCAGAGTCCACTCTCCAGAAAGCTGTTGGTTACCTCATGTCCAGAGTTTATGCAGGTCCGGGAGAGGGTCTGTGTCTTTAATGCAGTCTCAGGCTGACATCCCGGGCTGTAGAAAACGATGCCCATGACAGGCAAATCTTGCAGCCGGCTCTTTGCTGTTAAAGCAAAGCCACATTTTCCAGCCCTGTTTCTGTCAGCCCGGGTGACATTGATGATCTGGTAGTTGTTTTGTCTTCTGACTTAAGAGGTAGAGAATCAGCCTAGCACTGGCTTTGGTACTTCTGTCATCCCGATCCGCTGGCCACCCCAGGTGGCTTATGACTAGCCTCAGGTGCTCCTTTGGATGGAGCTGCAGAGAGAAGTGTGGGTCCCCACCACTGCTGCTGTACCCTAGGCTTTTGTGTGCACTGCTGCTTGCCACCTCTGCCTGCCTCCAGCCACATGCAGGAGCACAGCCCCACCTGCCGCTGTCAACTGCAGGCTGCCCGTCATCTGCGCTTGCCTGTCTGCTCATGCATGTCTCCCCGGATTCTTAATCTTCCCTCCGACCTGCAAAGGGCTTTGCAGAGAAGCAGGCATTTGGAGAGAGCCGGGGCTCCAGCTGGCTTTCTAGCAAAGCTCTTTTATGGCTTTTGGTCCCCATTGTTTGGGGATATCACTCGAGTGCCCAGCCAGGACCAGAGAATCTGATTAGAAGAAATGACATTAAATGGCTGGAAGCCCCTTGAGGCTAAGTACCAATCTTCACATACCCATTCCTTTTTCCTTCTTTTTAAACCCCCAAGCAAGAGTGCAAGCTAGAGTCTAAGCTCACAGATGTCTAATTGTGCCGCAGGGTGGAGGTGCTTTTATAAAGTTTCTGGGCAGCGCCGTTTCCTTTTACTTCACAGCCGGGCAGGTGCCAAGGGGAAGCATGTTTTCCACTCCTTTCCTGCATTCCAGGTGGCAGCTGCAGGCACAGGGCCAAGGGTCAGAGAACATGAGCCTTACTTTTGATTTCCTTTCTTCTTTCTTTTCATTTTTGAGAGCAGATTTGTGTTTGTATAGGGGTATATGTATGTTTATGTGGGTGTGTGCATTAATGCATGCAAATGTGTGTGTGCGTGC